CACTCCACTTAAAGCAATACGTATAACAAATTTACCTTAAAATAACAGCTTCAGTGCTTGGTATAATGACGAACAATAGAGAGAATGGCATCTCTGTCATTGACACTCCAGGCCCGGAACGCCTGCTATAGCACTGTGTAACTTTGGAGGAGTGGGCATGAAACCTCTCAAGAACTGCGTAACACAGCACCATGTCACACAACAACAACTATACCTCTTCAGCTGGCGATAAGAAGTAGCTCAGTATTCCCAGCATGGACATCATAGCAGAAGCTACAAAGAGACTGTAGAAGGCGTTGCCTGTGGAAGTGAGAAAGATAAAAAGAGAGAGTGGCCAAGTAAGAGACCGAACAAGAGTACATCTCAGACTGGCTTTTACTCCTTGACGAAAGCTAAATTAGATAAAAAGATGCAAGACCGTCTCATGGATAACAGGAAAACAAGAAAATCTGACAGCAGACTGTACATTCGTGCCAATGTTGTTTATGAAAGCCTGCAATGTAGGGTGTAACCTTATCTGTGTCACATAGTTTTGTAGTTTTTCCGGATGCCAAAAGTCATCTAACCTCAGTCCCATTTCAGGCTAGCATGCAAAGAAATAAATCCCATGCCAAAAAGTTTGGTCAGATTTTATCAACCTCACGTCAAATAAGCCTTGTAAATTTGAAACCTCCTGTAATACAATTCTGTAATATTACTCTACCTTGTAAGTTGACAAGGGTCTGTCTCTTCTATTGCCAGTGTTGTCCCGAATTCCCTCTCACCAGTAGAATCCGACTCACCTTTGCCTGTACCTTCTTCATGCAGGCATATTGATGCTTCAGATTACACTTGCGATTTTGGTTGTGTACACATGGAAGCACAGAAATCGTCAGTATAATTTGTAGCATCCTTATGCCTGCATGATGCGCGTGCATGCGAAAAGGAAACAGCTACTGTATCCTTCAACTCATCAACAAATGCACGTGTACATGTGGGGGGCTCACAGCACGATTTGTATTTACGACAGTGGTGTAAAAGTGAAATACACTCAGCAACTGTAGAGCCAAAAATACCAATTCTCGCATAATGCTGCTTTAATGTGCAGCCTGCTGTACCTTGAAGTAGCTTATACTGCTTTAAAGTATCATCATAAATTTCATATTCATATTCAAAATGAAGTTGAACCTCAAAGCAATGTTGTAAAGTCATTAAATTAATATGTGAAGGACCTTTTGGGTGCATGGAATCCTTTTTGTTGTGTCTGAATTGCATCAGGGACAAGCAATTGTCTTTTAATTTGTGTGCTTCATGAATGTTTGATGAAGAAGACGATGACTTGGGCAGAAGCATTCAAGCCCCTGCTGTTCCTGCATGTACACTCACATTCGCACACTCAAAATTATTCTCAGCCCCAGAGAAGATTTATGCTGCTCTAACTTCACTTACAACCATCACATTTACTTGAGAGCCAGCAGACAGAGGCGAGTAGTAACTAGTCACATTTCCTTTGTTGTAAGAAGTAAAAATTCAGATATGGATTTGTACTTTCTTGAGCATTTCTACTCAAATACATTAGTGAGGAAAGGAATCTGCTCCTTACTCACTTTTAGTCATTAACATTACTCATTCTTTGTCTTTTAACTTAATTACATTATGCTGGCAACACCACATACTGTAATGTACTGTACCATCTGTACTGCTCATATTTGTGAAGAAGAACAGCACGTAAACTAAGCAGAATCCCACCAATTTAATTCAACTGCACTTGCTCCCGAGTGGCGCAACCGTCTAAGCGTTGGCCCTATCCTAAGGAGATCGCGAGTTTGATCCCTGGTGATGCTACAGCCGTCCGTAGCCGGGAGTCCGAGAGAGCACAATTGGCCTCGCTCTCTCTGGGTGGGTAGGATGGCCCCTCCTTCTCCCCCCATCACTCAGCGCGATGCTAGTCAGCGCAGGCGTCTGTTAGCTGACGTAACAGATCTGGCGGTTGGCGCTTTCCTCCGAGCGCGTTCGGCTGTCCAGTGACGTCGCGTGAGCGGCAGCTCGAAAAGAAGCGGTGGTTGGCTTCACAGGTCTCGGAGGAAGCCTGTGTTAGCCTTCACCCTCCTAGCGTTGATAGCATCGTGTGATTGGGGGAGTCCTAACTAGCGGGTGGAATTGAAGACGACTAAATTGGGGAGAAAAGAAAAAAAAAATGCACTTGAACAAGTCATTTAGAGTGGTTTGATGTGAACTTTTACAAAGAAACTTAAGGACTGTGGTCTCTTTACAATGGTGGTAATATATTTACACTGCAAATATAACCTTATGTATAGCTATATATATATATATATATATATATAAAACCAGTAGTAGTGTCTTCTACCTTCTATGTAATGTTGATAAGGGTAAAAGAGTGGTAACTGCCCCCCACCCCAAAAAAGAAATAAAAAAATATATATATTGCACATACAGCACCTTGCATATAACCCTACTTCTGTGCCTTGAAATTGGTTACATTTTAGGTCAAAACCTTTTCTAACACTAGGGATCCCATCCATACCAGTTTTTTCAGAGCATGTATAAGTATGTGTATATATTTTTTAGTACTCACCGATACCGAGTCCGAGAAACCTACTTACAATTAAGTTGTTGTTGGTGTAAATGAGTGCAATGTACCTTAAACATTTTTTTTTAAACTAGTTGATTTTAAATGATGTACATTAGCTAGTTATACTGCATTAGTTGCCTTGAATTGAGTAGCGCTGCACGGAGAACAGCGGGCAGACTCTGTGGCACAGCAACAGCACGAATTACATTTGAGGCTAACGCATCTGACGAGCTTACGTTTCGAGTTTTGCGACTTGTTGGGAAGTCTTTTGTTTGGCTGGTTAAGCTGCAGCTAAATGTCCTCTAAAGCCAGACATACACGGTATGATTGCCTGTTTGAGTCGATCATCATGCATAGATAAAGCCTACAATTTATACATGAAATGTAGCCTCTACAGACAGCTCTGTCTATGCACAGTTTCAAATAAAGCTGTTTCATTCAAAACAACACACTGCGCACCGAGTACCGGGCAAAGAGAAACTGAGCGGCACTGCTAACACTGTGCACTGAAGCTAAGAGCCAGGCGGTGATGTTCACAGTAGGACAATAGAGTCTCTCTACAGCCTATTTTACAAAAAAAAAAAAAAAAATGTTGTGTTAACATTCACACCTTGCTATTGTATTCAGTCAAACAGAGTATAGTTGGTATATATGGATCTGATAGGAAATGTCAGCTTTTTTCTCTTCCGTTTAGTTGACCTGCATGTCTTCCACTCATATAGGGCAAGCAGTTGTACTTATGTTTCTGTGTGTTTAACACGGGCTAAAATCACGCAGTGTATTCCTGGGGAGAATCTGCCAAGGCAGAATGCCTGAAATGACCAACGGCTTTGTGTCTGACTGTCAGAGTCAGTAACGCTTCTCCATGTGAGCAGAGCCTCCCTCACTGCGTTTGTCCATCAGTGCAGCAGCTACACTTGGCTTACGTCACAGCTAGTATTGGAATGTTTGTATCGCTGCAGTACAGTACCAGTATCGGTATCAATGCATCCCTACTTAAAACTATATCCCTACATAAAACAATGCCCCCTTTTAAGTTCACTGGCTGACAGATCTGACAGAAGCTGGATATACTAAAATGTTCTGTCGCAGCTCTATAAAGTACTTAAGTATTTAAAGGGGAACTCCATCGATTCAGAGTGGTTTGGTGTATCGTGCTCTGTTTCAGAGAAACGTACAGAGACTGTATTGTTCACAGTGGAGGTGACAGGCACCGCACATCTAAAGAGTTTAGTGCCTCTGAAAGCTTCCTCCCAGAAGAAGTTATTACATAAAGCACTTTGTTTTATGATAGTTTTGAGAAGTTTGTGGTTAAAAATGTTATTTTAATTCATTCATTACCTAAAGAAAACTATTTTTTTTTCAGATTTACTCCTATTTTACCATCATCAACATTACATATAAATACTCAGAAGACGTGTAGGTTCTCTAGTGACCGCTGGGATGGGCTCCAGAAGGATAAGTGGCTTAGAAAATATTTATATATATATATATATATATATATATATATATATATATATATATATATATATATATGTGTGTGTGTGTGTGTGTGTGTGTGTGTGTGTGTGTGAGAGAGAGAGAGAGTGAGTGTGTATTTTTGTACTTCTATTCAAGCTGTTTTCGAAAAGATACTTTTTCTTCCTATAGCCGCTATAGCTGACCGTTGTTAGTACCTGCTACATTGCTACATTAGCTCTTCTGTTAACAGCTCCCTCAGCCTCAGGAGAAACAGGCACCAACAACATTACCAAAAACAGAAAGAAAGACAAAAATGACAATAAAAAAGAAGACAGCTGAGGTCCTCAGTCCGCTATCCACACAGGAAAAACGGAGCGCCGCACTGCTCTAACTGTTGTAGTTTTTACTAAACAGTCAAGAGGACGACCGAAGATGGCGTCTCCCTACCGCCATCTGTAGGCGGGCCCCTGTTACAGCAGGGCTGATTCTCTGGTCATGTGTATTCAGAGCAGAGGAGAGAAGTGAGGATTTCATAATCAAAGGAAATGTGGAAAATCTGAGCGTGGACAGATCAAACAGGGATTTTTTTTCGACGTGTTGTTGTCTCGATAGACTTTTATTTAGCCTCTCTGTGGACTGTTGGGGTTCTATCATGCATTATTAGAGCCCGTGTGTTTGTTGGTTGATTTATGTTTTTGTTTTTTAATATACAGCGACATGGTTATAGCCTGTGTCTCGGTATATCACTTTAGTCTGTCCGTCAGAGAGGACCCAGTGTCTCCACTCACCGTCTTTACTGCCGCTTTCTTCGTCAGAAATGCTTTTTGAAATGTAATGTTTGATGTCTTCTACAGATTTAAACATAGACGAAGTAAAGTAACTCTCTCTCTCTCTCTCTCTCTCTCTCTCTCTCTCTCTCTCTCTCTCTCTCTTTCTCTCTCTCTCTCTCTCCCTCCTTACTTTGCAGCCGTTCTTCAGGTGTCCATATCCCTCAACAAGGTGGAATTGAGTGTTGGAGAGTCCAAATTCTTCACCTGCACGGGTAACGTCTTATTCTCCCTCATTACTTATTTCTGACTTGTGAGGGTTATGAGGAAAATCGTGATGCCATGGTGGAAATGAGTTAGACAGAGTGGAAAACTGATTTTTGAAGATTGCTCCATAATTAAAGTGCTCAGATGTGAACCAAGTCTTTCAGAGTATTTATGTAAAATAAGGCATTGTGGAGAAAACTTGCCAACTCTGATTTTGTTCACAGTGGCAGTGATAGGAACAAGGGGACATGATATCTAAAACATAAATAATACCATTTTATTTGCTGTCCAAATTGAGCCTTGAACCAGTAAGTCTCTTCTCAGTGTTATATGTTATGTTGATAATGGTAAAATAGTGGTAAATCTGGAAAATATGATTTCTTTGGGGACTGTTTTGCCTCACAATTCCCTTTGCCATGAATGAATTTTGAAAAAATAGGTTTTAGGCCAAAAACTTAAACATTAAGCTCAAAACTATCATTAAACAGCATGTTTGGCAATGGTGTACATAACCTTTTTTGTGTATTAGCTTTCTGTGAGGACGCTTTTAGAAGCAATGCTTTAGATGTCTGGTTCCCATCACCACCATTGTGTGTCTTTCTTGGTGACTTTCTTTAGAATGACCTTTTTACATCTTAACCATTTAATTATGCGTAAGTGTAAAATAAAAGGTGGAATTCCTTAAAATTGGTAGAAAATCTACACCCCTAATAAGTACTTACTGTCATCTGTATTCTGTGTGCACGCCTTTGTCTTGTCTTGCTTTCTCTTTGTGTTGAATGATGTATTGAGGGAACTTCTGTTTGTTTGTCGGTGCATTTTTTTTAGCTTGCATACAGTCTTCAATAAGCAAGGATCAGTACAAAGCTTAAAGTCAGCATTTACCTTGTCCAGAAACAATACAGACTGTTCTTTTGAAAATATAGCCAATACTAAGAATAGTCAGTGGAGTCATGAATAATAGAGAAGAAACATGTAGATGAGCGGAATTGATTTAACGTAAAATTGAATGTCTTTCATTATTATTTCATTTGATTCACCGTTGGAGTTAGTTTGAATAAGTTACGAGGAGAGAATTGAATTAAGTTCCAATCGGCCGCATTAATGTTTAACTTTTTTATGGGTTAAATTGATTGGAGCAGAGTAGAAGAGTGAGACAAGGAAATGGAATTAGGGTGAAATATGGATGAAGGCTGTGATGTGAACGAGAGGAAGATAGAGGGAAATAGAACCGGTAATGCGGCACTTTGTTGGGGGCCACAGCCCCTTCGTGCCTCACGCTTTGCTCTCAACCTGTTGACGCACCTGTTGGAGTCCGCAGTCGGACAGGGGAGTGATTAACATTCTCCACGGCTGATTAACCACATGCGAGACATGGAGTCGCCATAAGAGCAAATTGATTCCCCCCCAACCCCCCCACCCCATCCTTCATATGCTCCTCTTCACTAAACGAATTCAATTCTGTAAATTCATCTCCAGTCCTCCGCGTATACCCACTACCGGGTCCCTCTTGACGGAGCCCAATCAATTATGGCATGAGGACGAGGAGGCTTAGTGAGCCAACGAGGGAGAAAGAAAGAGGAACGCAGGGTGGGAAGGCATGAACGAGGGAGATGGAAGAGCGAAGGACTAATTTTAGCTCTCGTCTGCCATGGGAGCACGTCGGGACGATAAAAACGCGACGATAAAAGATGAGGCCTCGAGTTTCTCAATTAATATTTCCTCCGTCCCCACGTCTCGCAGCCATACATAATCATAAACTGTTCTCGAGTAATTGCCGGGATGACAGAAGGTCTGTTTATTAAATGGGGCAGCCACGTGAACAAGCGCAGTTTAGTAACGAAATTACTTCCGATTACGATGCGTTACCACTGATGCTTTTCAAGAGGCAGATGTGCAGATCATTTTGATGGACGCCTTCTGATGAATTGACATAAAAGATCAGTGCGTATTAGGGCTACATTATCACAACAGTTGCAAAAGCAGAAAATTGGCATTTGCTTTGTCTGCAATTGACCGGCAGCCCTAATTCCTTCCACAGAACAACAGAAAAATTCAATGAGCTTGGCCTCAGCAGGCTGCCTTCACTCCTGTCTTTTGCAGAGACTTGCAAATTGCATTGGCTGTTGCCAAACAGCTTACGATAATGTAACCAAGATGGTGCCATGATTCAGTATATCACAATATCACAATTTGATCACGGTGGTTAACACACTTATGTCTGCCATGGCAAACAGCAAATGGCAAGCCACGTTTAGATGCTATAGAAAAAGTTTAAAGATTTATTGGCCATATTGTTGTCTATGTTCACATCACCCACATTAATCAAGTAATGGGTAGGAATTACAATTATGGAAAAAATGCTATGGTTACATTGCTCTGTGCTACAATTATGTTACACAGATGGGTGACAAAAGAAAAAACTGAATAAATGACTGGAGAAATATAACAAGTGCCGATGCTTCTGACAGGTGTACTCCATTATAGAGTTAACTACTGTGCTCTGTGATATATATGAAATAGTGAGCAGGCCCAGCTGACCTCAGTTTTGACAAGGAGTTACTGAATCGTTCAATGACTAGGGAAATGATGTGGATCATCCGGTTACCAGATCTCAACCCAGTTTAGAACTGAGCACTCATGGAAGATTTTGGACCAGTAAGTTAGACAGAGCTCTCCACCACCATTATCAAAATACCAATTAAAGGAATATCTTTTGGAGGAATGGGGTTGTGTCCCTCCTGTACAGTTCCAGAGACATGTAGAATCTTTGCCAAGGTGCATTGTTGCTGTTCTGGATGCTTGTGATGGCTCAACTCCTTACTAAGGGAGCTTTCGTGCTTACATTATTTGGTGTGAATTAACCCAACATATTCTTTAGTTTAGTCCATTTTTACATGTGTGATCCCTTTACCAGGAACCATCGTCCTTCAAAATCACAGCCTGCTTAAGAAGCGAAATGTGGTTTGGTTCGCTGTTGGTAGAATTGTATTGTCGTGATGGTCCGCACCAAATGAAGGAAGCAGATCATCAGAGTGAGCTTTCCTCTTCTTCTAGCAGCACATCAGTGCTGTACAGCCAGTGTAATCTGTCTGTTTTAACATTTAACTCTTACAGATGCTCATATTGTTCATGCAGCATGAGCTGCTGCTAATAATGATAGATGAGCAATAGTGAGGCATTTTGTCACATGGACTGCAGAAAGTATTTTCAATACGTTGGCCCAGATTTTGGCGACCGGATTGGTGGAATTCAAACTGATGCATAATTAAAACAATCAGTCATAAAGAAGCAGAGATCAAATAATGTTTGTTTTTATTAATCTTATTGCCATGCATGTAGACATTAAATGTCATTCTTTTTGTGGAACATAATGGGTAAAATCATTCATTTTATCAAATATATATAATTCAAGGATAGATCTGGATTTTGTGCCATGATAAGATACTGAAAGTTGTCACTAAAAATAGGTCATATAATGGAGGGAGATGAGAAATTGACTCACATGCCAAATTCAGTTCAGTTTCAAAGAATGCAAAGAACACCCATGTGTATTATTTGGTGCACTCTAGTCCTTACTAAAAAATACTAAATGAAAGCATCTTAAATAGTTGATCATTCTAATATGTCATATTTTGCAGGTGTTGAAAGAATATCATAATTTTTTTTTATAAAACGGATAGTTCCGGTCCTAAAGTCTGATTAGCCGCATTCACTACAACTGAACTCTGTATTACTGCGCCACAGCACGAAAAAATCCTTATGCTGTTCATGGAATAATCTTTGACTCTCTTGCAGTTCGCATGGAGCATTGAATGTACCGAGGAAGTAAGAACATGTTTTTTGTTTAAACTGAGGGGCTGGCAACTTTTTTTTTAACTAGAACTAGGCTGGTCAAGTAGCTAACAGGCTAAAAGATAGCTAACAGTCTAAACAACTCCATCATTAATATCACAGACTTGAATTACGATATGATTCATTGTAAAACAACAGTATAAAAGTCTAAAGAATGTCACGTGAATGGCTTACATGCTTCAAATGTCCGTGTTTCAGTCAGAAGCAGCTTCAAGCTCAGGCAGAATCTCAAATGGCTCTGTACTCCCTACATAGTGTGCTAACTATGAAAGTTTCGAAATTCTAGCCTCTGCAGATAAATAGTGCATCATTTATCGAGTATGGATGTGGCTGCATTGCAAATGACTATTTGTAGCTGTATAATGCACTGTTGGGGTGCAGGATCCAGTTTAAATTCCTACGTATTATGTAGGGAGCAGGGAGCCATTTCAGATTCAGCCCCATTGTGAGAAGAGGGGCGCCGTTCGATTGGTGCTGTGAAAGACTTGGTGGTAATTTGGTGACTAAAAAGTACTTACGAAGCAAATTTGTTTTGCATTAAACAGTGCTGTGTTATCATATGTTCTTTGTTATGAGACAAAAGGATAAAAAAAAAAATCATTTAATGACCAGTGATGGGCGAGCGAACGCTCTTCTCCTCATTCAACAGTCCATGTTTGCTTGGCAACGATACCGTACTCTAAAGGAACTACATTTCTTGGCGGAATACTTGTTTGTGTGAATTATTATTAATAATAACTCTAATTATTTTCAGAAAAAATGTGTATTTTATCATATTTTATGTTGGCCACCGTTTTATAAAAGCAATAAGCCACTTGAGGCCCTGCTTTACTGCAATTTTATTATGGGGATAAAATCACAGTAATGCAGGGCCTCTTGTGGCTCATGCTTTGTTAACATACTTCATTAACATACTTCCAGACATAATAATATATTGGCAGATATTTTTGCTTGTTTCAAGCTTTGAAAAAAACAGCGTTATCTGCCAATATTGTGACATGATTTCACTTGAAAAAGTTAAATAAAACAAGTAAAATGTCTGGAAATACGTCTTATAACATCCTTCCACAATCTAAAAATGAGAAATATTAGCTATATTGACTAGATTTAAGATGATTTCCTTTGCCAAGATACCATTTTTTTTAGTGATTGCCAAAAGAAAGATTGTCACAAAAACCCAAACTCTGGTGCGAACTTTAGGAGACAAGCTAGGTGTAAAAACCATAAATTAATTTATATTGGTTTTTACCTTTAATTTGTCACTTATGTTTACCTTGTGGTTATTATAAGCACATGAATGAACACTTGTTGTGACAAAGTTGACTATAAAAGCTGATATTGTGATTACAATTAACAAACATTACGTCATAGAGATGCAGAATATCTACACGGATAACTTAATAATTTTAAATGCAAAGGTTTAAAGTCAATGTAAAAAATAGAATTGCTATTCAGCAACTAATCGCAGTATTGGCACAGCTCTACCAAGCTAACGCTAGGACCCCTTGGGCTTGTAACTCCATTACCCCCATGTCCCCCCCACCTGTTCTCCCCAGTCAATCCTGCCTTGGCTTGATCTCCTCCCTCCTGGCGCTTCTAATGCACACACATACCCCCCGTGGTCCTCAGCTATTCCTCTGCCAGCTCACCCAGCCTGGTCTCGCTTATCTTCATCTTCCCTCTTGGTTCCTGCCGGTTCTTTGGGCACGCTGAGGCCCCAGCATGCTTCCCACCTCCGCAACTCTCTCTGAGGGAGATGCAAAGGCTCAAGTCCCCTCTGATTTCAGAGGCCAAGGAAGAAAGAGCTGGTGCTTTTATGACCTTCCAGCAGGACAGGATTTACAGAGGAGCACACCTGGAGTTTGCATATGGTGCTCTCTAATTCTCCTTGTGGGCTCTAATTAAAAGCGCTGGCTGTCAGAGCTAAAGAGGAATAGCAAATTATGGCGAGCACAAGATATGAGGGAGCTGGAAGTGGACTGCACTACCTGGCTAGAGTAACAGAGTCGTTTCCTGTGTGTGTGTGTGTGTGTGTGTGAGGGTACTTTGTTTAGCTTCTTTGTGGGCACCAAATCTCCCCATAATCAGAGGAAAATTTTGACATCTTGTCAGCTCCCATTTTTTTTTTATTTGAAAAACTGAAAGCCAAATTGTGTGGTGTTCACACAGGACTCTGCATATGTGTGCATGGTTGTATTTTGAAGCTGTCAAACCACAGTGCTTTTAGCTTTTCCTATTATACTGTTAAATAGTGCTGTCATTAATTAGTTGATTGAAAAGTGTACTTTCTGGATAGATCTGCAATGATTAGTTGGCAATTTGTATAATGATAATGGTATTTTGTGTATTTTTCTAATATATAAGTTCTGTCTTAGAAGTTGGTTGCATTTTCTGCTAATCCCAATTACAAATGTAGACACATCAGGCCATAAAACTTTACTCAGCATCTCAGACATCCAGTTTTGTTTTTTGTCTATTTCCTTTTCTCAGTAGAGGCTTCTTGACAGCCACACATCCTTTCAGACTCATAGTGTTAAGTTGTCTTCTTAAAGAGGAAGGATAGAAAGAAACACCTGTAGACTTTTCCAGATGTGAAGTAAGAGTGGAGCTTAATTTTTTTTAATGAATCTTTTTACTTTGTCCTGTTTTGTTTTTGTTTTTTTGTTTTTTTTCATTGACTTGTCTAATGTGTCAGATCTCACAGTTAAGATTTTTGTTGTAGTTACTTGTGTGAATGTTTGTGTCTCTTTGAAGGGGAACGTAATGTGATTGACATCTTTGGGGACAGCTTTTGTTGGGAGGACACAGCTGTAACTTGTTGGTTTCAAGACTGACGAATGGAAAGTGCTCAAAAGTAAAGAGCAGACAATTTAAATACTGATAGATCTGATAATATATAGCGCTAGTTTCAAACAATACTAATCAACAGTATTACTAGCATTAGTGATTCTACATTTGGTTAGCATCTTTGGTGCTTCAGTGCTTCTTTGATTATTTTGACTTTATGCAAAGTGTTTTTGTTTTTGTTTTTTTTTTCTTTTTCCAGTCATTGGGGAGCCAATCAGTTTGAACTGGTTCAACCCTCAAGGTGAGCGCATCATCTCCAACCAGAGGGTGGTATTGCACACAGAGGGGGTCCGCTCTAGACTCACCATCTACAATGCCATCATTGAGGATGCTGGTATATACCGATGCCAGGCTGTGGATGCCAAAGGACAGACTCAGGAGGCCACAGTGGTGCTGGAAATTTATCGTAAGTTCATGTTTAGACAAACTGAAGTTTCTATTTTATACTGACCTTTTCATGGCATGAGTCAGACGGTCCAAAGTTAGCATGGTATTTCTCTGAGTCACCAATGGGCTGTCATGCCAGATGACACTTCATGCCAGGACTGTCATAGTCTTCTTAATATGGTGCCAACAATGCTGCATTTTTATTTCTATCTCTGATATAATTTATAGCATGGATTTATTATATATTATTATTATATATATTATTTATTATAATTATGTTTCAAGAGAACAAGTTTTCTGCTTTTTTCAAAGTACAGGGAAATATATTAAATTGCTGTCTATGGTAATTGACTGTATTGTACAGATAGAGAGGATCGAGATCGAGTGTTCTTTTAAGCTCCAGCCTACAGTTCGTCCAAATTAGAATTTTGAGCTGTCTCGGTCTAAGAATTAATGTGATGTCAAAGCGACAATGCTTCTAGGAAGCTCACCCCTGATCACTTAATACACTAGCAGCTTACTACCTCAATTATGATGGCAGAGTCCTTGTAGCAGGGCTTATTGGTGCTGGGGCTGATTTTTGTATGTATGTACCTAAAGACATTTCAATTGATTTAAATAGGTGCATTCAAGAGTTTAATGTCAACCTGAAAACAAAATTGACGTCTTTAACGTTACTTCATGTCATTGGTACAGTGGTTCTCTATCAAAAGTATTCTATGGCTGAATGTTAGCTTGCTGACTGGGCAAGTGATTTTAGCGCTGCTATCCCACATTATTGTTTTACTATATGGGCATTTGTTAATGTTGAACCCTGCATTATATTTTAAAAGACAAAAGCCTTGGTTTCTCATAATCTTTGATTGTGATGTAATAACTTCTGCATGCTTCAAAAACGTCTTTTGAGTACATCACCGTGCAACAGCAGGATATTAACCAATAATATCATGTTTAACCTCACCCTCCCGTTGCCTCCACCCTCGTGTGAAATGCGCAGCTAGCTCTAAAGATCTAAAGCTCCCTAATATTGTAAATACACCACAGTGTGGAAGACTATGGATTATGATTTCCTGTTCAGGTTGACTTTAAAAGACAACAAGTTAATCTAACAATGCCACGGTGCAGCCCAGTATTAAAGTGGTAGGTTGGAAGAATCTAATTTGTACAATTTTCTCCTTATTCCAAATGTTGTCAATCAGCTGAGACATGTTTGGTGTGTGAAGTTTGCCTCTTTAGTTTTGCACTATGCTGTAAGCTATGAGGCTATTATAGCTAACAGGTAATATCCCAGTAAGCAAATAGTCAATTTATGGTCTTTCATTCAAAATATTAGCAGAAATGGAACCTTTATTTAAGGTATAATGATTTAAAGAAAAAGCTAAATCTTGTCATGAAATAAAAGTTGTTCTTAAATCTATGTGTGCCACAATTGCCGGCACCCTTAGAAATTCTTACGAGTAAAATCTAACTGAAGTATATTCCCACCCATATTGTATGTTTTTCAGTCCGCCTGAGCAATTGGGAACACTTAAATGGTCAGCCATGACTTCTTAATTCACTGGGGATTATATATGAGAGGAAACACAGACCAGATTCCCTCAGTGATCCATCACTATGAGAGAGATGAGAGAAAACAGCAATGAGGTTAAAACAACTGGAGATGTTAAGGATCTGCCGAGAAGTGAACATATGTCTGTACTGACCACAGTGTGGAGGATGTTTTGAGTGGGCAAAGAATCACAGGATCACACATGGGGGATTGCCAAAATTAGTTAGGTCTTAGAGTTAAGGTTTTGCCATGGTCACCCCAGTCCCCTGAGCTAAACCCCCTTAGAAAACCGGCAGGATGAGCTGGAGAGGAGAGTCCAGAGTCCAGAGGATCTGGAGAGGTTCTGTATGGAGGAATGGTCTCAGAACTCTTGCCATGTGTTCTCCAGTCTTATTAAGCATTTTCGGAGAAGACTCAGATCCTTGCAAAGCTAGGCTGCACAAAGTATTAAATTAAAGGGTGCCAAGAATTGTTGCACACACATATTTTAGAAAACAATGTAATAAAGATTTTTTTTTCAATCATAATACTTCAAGTAAAGGTTAGATTTCATTTTGAGTGAATAATCTCAAGGAGAAGCAATAAAGAAGGTTTTTACAGCCTGTATTGCTCATGTTTACTAGGGGTGCCAAGATTTGTGGAGGGCATTGTACTGTGCAGACAATATCTATAGACAATGTGCATGCAAATACACAGACTTACACATTTTTCTTTTTCTTTTTTGGAAAATGACAGCTGCCCTTTACATTCTGTGAACTTTTTTGACAAATGTACATATATATATATTGCATTACTTAAAACTTGAGGTGGCATTGATCCACTAGCATGTATCAGTACATGTATCAGTATTGAGCCAGTACCAGCGGAAAATGTAGGTTTCATTCACAGTGTCTCAAATGCACACCGACCCTTTTCATACATTTCATGTATTTTAAGTATCAGGATTATATCCAAAAAGAGATTATCTACACAAAAATGCAGCTGTTAATGCACCCAAGACACATTTATCACAGATTTAAATCTGATCGTTTTTTGTAACACAATTTGGCTAAAGTTTGTATAAGTGTAAACGCAGTTGTTTCTTCAAGACACATTCCATAACCAAAACCCTCCCAATACTGTGACTCCACCCTCTGCTGTTCTATTATAAACTGCCTCCACTACACGGAGACATCACTGCTTTTTCAGTTCAGCTCTTGACATGAGATTCTCCCCTGAGGTTAATTTGTTAGCCTACATTTCTGACATTTGGTCAAACTAGTTAGCTTAAATAAAGAGTCAGTCATAAATAAAGAATCAGTTTGGTTAATCTTTCCTTCACCTTGTTGTTTTTCAGTGTCTTGTTAAAACACATTGTGTTTTAATGCACATGGTTCACAATGGCGCTGACTATTACCATGCCAGTGTAAGTAAGTGAACAAAGCCATACAAAATTGTGATGTTCTTTTGAATAGAACAGGAAAACGAGGAGCACCTCAGGCAATTAGTTGTTGTATATGACCAAACTGGCAAACTATGTGCCATTGGCTGATAATCAAGGTCATCTCTTCTTGGAATACAGTTAGGTAACACTTTATTTGGACAGTCCACTTTAGATGCTTTGTAGATACTTAATTTACTTTCAAGTTACATTCAACTAAATAGCTATTAAATTGACCATAACTTTCTTTAACTCTAAACCTGGCTCTAATCCTAACTCTAACCATAACCACAACCCAAAACCTGAACCCAACCCTCACCCTGGTCCTAGCCCTAAGCCTGGTCCAAATCCTAACCCTAACCCAACCACTGTTTAGAATCAACTGAGTTTCAACAGATAGTTTAACAATTGTTAGACCAAATTATTACACTGACTTAAATTAGAAGTTAAGAACTTCGTTCCTTTTCCTTTACACATTTTTTCTTAAAAAAGTGATGACACAGAGCACTCAGTGTAGGCAGTATGCTTTAATAATGTGTGAATCAGCTGCTCATCACACATGATTTTAAGGTGATATGTATGATTAAAGGTTCATTTGTGTGGAATAGATGTGGACGAGAGAAGAAGCCGCAGTGATAATAAACATTCTAAAACTGACATTGTATAAGTAAACTTCTGCAAAACTGCTAATAAATGGAAAGAATTTGTGGCCAGAAGTTTCCAGAAGGCAGCAAAATGTTAATCAGACATTGCAAAAATTCTGTGTACCAAATTTTATGTGTAATGAATGCCATCTGTTTTGGTCACTCAGAAAAGCTGACGTTCCGGGAGGTGAAGACACCTCAGGAGTTTCGGCAGGGGGAGGATGCTGAAGTCGTGTGTGATGTCATCAGTTCACCTGTGCCGGCGGTCTCCTGGTTCTATAAGAACAGAGAGATCACACCTGAGCGTTTCAGTAAGAAACTATTTTCTGTGTTCTGAATTGAAGTACTGCTCACTGACTGCATTTGACTAATATTGTGATGTTCTTGTTTTGATGTCTTGTGTATAAAACAGCAACTACAAAGTTGCTGGCACCTCCATTAGTAGAACTTATTGTATATCCAAAAATGCTGTAACGTCCTACCTAAGCAAACTCACTTTCTTGGTGTAAAGCAGAAATAGAGACGTTAATGGCATTGAATTATTTTGTCTCTGGATTGTGTGTTCATTTCATATTGAATGCACTAGTGTCAGTCTACATTGAGGTACTCAGCACTGGACAGTTTAGGACCTGCCTGCATTGAAAGGAATTTAAATTTGAAAGGTCATACTGTTAGGGCAGATCATTTTTTTTGTCATGTATTTAAGGCTTTTAGTCAGAAATATCTGATTTATAGTGTGTCCCAATTCAGGGGCTGGATATTTCAGAGGACATGGTCTGCGAAGGCATGCAAAGTCTGAACCGGTCTGCTGTACAGCGGATTTTCTGTTTGCGTCACAGCACTGCTGTGCCCATCCTTACCGTTGCGCCACGAAACAACGCTCTTGTCAAATTATTTTAAAGTTCTTAGAAATAAATAAATAAAAATAAATAAAAAATAGATAAAATAAACTTTTGTTTATTTTTTCATTTATTAGAGCTGGAGATGTGTTTTTTTTACATTTGTATCGTTAGCCATTCGCCTCAGTTTAAACCCAATACTTGTATTTATATATATTTAACTTATATTTAAAAGTGTGCTCTTCAGCTGCCGTTCGCTTCTCTGTTGATGCCGCCATGTTCTTGAATCCTCCCGGCACGCAATGAACCTCGGGATATGTTGGCTGGCAAAGGATGCACCCGTTGGATCCTTCGTTGCCATGGAAAAGAAGGACACATTTCTCGGCTGCATATGAAGGAGACTTCATAGGCTCACAAGGGGGGACCCATCCTCCTCTGGTCAAACTACCTACAAAATTATTATACCACTAATATTAATAGTAGTAGTAATAGTAATTTTTAGGAGTCCGTGAAAACTTCAGTGTAGGGTGGGCGGCTAGTCCAAGGAAAGTGGCGGTAGCTGGGCAAGTGGCGGAGACTGGGGCGTGGGCAACTGGTCTGAAGTGGGTAGCAGGAGAGCTCCACAGACAATCATCCATCAGTGTCCGGCTGGACAGGTGGGCTCGTACTCGGAAAAAGGTAGGGAGATGGAATTAGTTTGGTTCTGTTTGGGTGTATGTAAAACAGAGAATGCGAACATTTCCAGAGTGTGGCTAATGACTCCGGTAGATCTGACTATAACAGCTTAAGTAAAAGGAGAGAACCAAAAGGACACACAGACACGGGAGCACCATGAAACAATTTGGCATCCCTCCGCTCCACCGTCCACAAACCTGAGTGATCGCTTGCGAGCGGCGGGACGACAGCACCAGCGTCTCAGTCGGCCTTCAAATGCAGCCTCTGAAGGACACAGCCCCTGAGATACACAGATAGGCTAAGCAGATAGTTCATTCGCTTCAGTTTTAATGTTGCTAGCCTTGTTCTTTTAATGAGGAACCCCTTCACTGATCAGCAAGCCACAGTCTTAGAAGAAAATGAACAAACAGACTGGTTCCACATTGGCAAAGAAGTAAGGCAGGGCTGTATCCCATCATCAACCTTTAGGCTGATCATATAATAAAAGAAGCAGGACTGGAGGAAGATGGTCAAGGATTCAAGAAACGTCAGTAACCTTTGAAATGAGGATGACATCTCGAAGTGAAAAATCAAGAAGATCTGAAGTAAGCAAAGTTAAAGAACAGAGTGAAAACATGGGACTTCAGTATGGAGACAACAGGAAAGACTGCTAACTTTTGCCACTGATGGAAAATGTAGAAGAAAAAGAATCCTGCAGTCAGGAAATACAACAGAGATTGGCACTCTGCAGAACAAGGACGAAAGAGCCTGAAAAGATCTTCAGATGTAATGATGTGTATCTGTGAACAAAGATCAGAATTGTACAGGCTATGGTCTTTTCTGCTGTTCTTTATGGATTTGAAAGCTGAACAAACAACAAGCAAGACAGGAAAAATATTGATGACTTTGAACTTTGGTGCTGGTGAAGACTTTTGAGAGCACCTTGCACAGCAAAGAAAACAATCAAATGGATTCTTGACCAAATCAAGCATTACCTCTCACTGGAAGCCCAGATGACCAAACTGAAGCTATCTTGTTTTTGACATTGTGAGAAGACAGTAATGCTTGGAACAGTTGAAAGTAAAAGTGGAAAACCAGCAGGAAGATGGATGAACACTATAAAAGATATCATGAACATGCCATTCAGAAGTCTAAAGACCCAAACAGAAACTGGACATTCTGGAGTAACACTATATATATGGTCACCAGGAGTTGGAACCGACTTAATAGTAATAATAATAATAATAATAATAAGGCTTAATCTTGAAGGGGACTTCATTTTTTGATTCTTGATCTCGATTTGAACTGGAACTGGATTTGACAATCAGGGGCAGAAATATTTAGACCCAAACTACAGAAAAACATTATATAGACGTCAGGAGATGATTCTATCATGCACGGCTGCTGTAGATGTAAGGCTACTTTGAGTGGAAAGAAACTCAGTAGTTTGATAGGGATTTTTGTCAGTGTTTTGTAAATTCTTGGGTGGTGCATAGATAGTGTAGTAAGCTTACAAGTTTATTCAGCTTTGGCATTTTGGTTAAAAATGCACAGACGCATATACTATTCACACCGTAGGCCTTATGTACAGCACTGCATGATTTAGCATACTGAAATCATCTCTCCTTTGCATTTCTTGCAAGTGTCTGAAAAGCAGAGTAAATAGGCCACACGCTCCTGATCTACCCGTTTTTTTAAAAAGACACCTCCCACTGCTAGAGCCGGAAAGCTTTTCCAGATGCACATGGAAGCAAAGCAGAAAGCATCACCACATGCACTGATCTTAGCACTGCACAAAGGACAACACCTAGCTGCTTCCCAGAGGGAGAAAAAAAGCCCCTGTCTAGCTTTTTTCAAGTGTCAGGCCTTTAATTGAAATTCAAAGGCAGAACTCTGACAAGCTATCATCACTTTGCCGGCTGAGGAGATTACATGGTGGAGATTTCTCCCCATTTTTCTTTATTCTAATTAGGGAGCAAGGTTATAAATATATCCCCCGAATGAAAGAGAGACGGTCGGTGTTTATCACAGAGGGATGACAAAACTGGAAGAAAGGCTTTGTGTGAGTGTGTGTGTGCTCGCGCCATAATCCGAGAGGTATTTCATTTCTCAAACGTCCTTTAAATGAAAGAGAACTGTATCAAGGATTGATGATAATGTTTTCTCGTTAAGGAGCTTGCGTTTAAAAAGTACAGCCTCGGATAAGGTCTTTTTTCACTTTTTTTGACAAAGGACTGTTCTGCTAAAGGGAAAATTCTGACTGGAATCAGAATACAATGACTTTACCATCATGTAATATGACACTTTGTTAGGTTCTGTTGGGCCCTAATTACTGTTGTGAGGTCGGGTGAAACAGTCTTATATGCAAACTAGATCTCCTTTAAGGAAATTGAAAAGTTGTCGATTTATTAGGTGCACCTACCTCTCTGCTACCCTCTGTGGACAGTTTATCCGAAACACCTGCCGTATAAATGCACTTTTTAGGTTTATAGTTATTGACTGTAGCCCATCTGTTGCTATACAATATATCAGTCTCCCTCTACCCCATCTATCACCACCATAGGTACTGTCTAGCCTGTAACAATAGAAGAACCCTTTTTGGTGCTATATAGCACTGTTTTAAAAAAGACAGCATGTTCTCCATCAATCTGAGGAACACTTTCATGATGTAAAGAACTCTTTAATCATAGAAACGGTTCTTTGTGTGTCCATGATTCTATATGGAACCATTTTCTTTACTTTAAGGACCCTTGGAGAACCATCTTTTTTAAGTATGCAATGGTTTTTTCACTGGCAGTACAGTATGGTATACTTACAAATGTACTTTCATGGTTCTGTTGTTCAAAGGGAAATGGATACAGATGCTCGACCAGGGTACGGGTAGTTATGTGTTTGGATGTGAACGGCAGGTAACCAGTGGTAGGTGTTTAGGATAAAATGGCCAGTGAGTGTAGCTACAAGGATGGAGTACTTAATAAACTGACATAGTGTATATTACCCAGAGTACTATTTATCTGGCTGATAAAAAGTTAAACGAGTAATTTGACTTGCAATAAGGTCTAGTTCAGGTCCTTTCATGTTGCCATTAATTCACTGTCTTGACGCTGTAGCTCCCATCTCACGCCTTCTGTACACTCAACATTCATTAAACATGGCCCATGGTTAAGAGCTAGAGTTTTTGTTGTGTGGTTATAAGATTATAAGATCATATTCAGTCTTCTAAAACACATCCAGTACATGGTCTTACAACTCATCTAGGTTGTGAATACTGTTAGAGGCAGCTAATTTACTTGTGCAGAAAATAAATTACCTTTGCAATTCCTTTTTTCCAGTAGCGCTGCTTATTTGCATGCAGACTCATACCTTTTTGCCTGTTTTAATTAGTTACTTTATTTATTTATTTTTAAGAACAAGAAAGAAAGCAAAAAGACATTTGCTCGGCAAGATTGTAGCTTCCTGAATGAGGTCAGTTACAGAATTAAACACAGAATTAGTGGGAATGTAGGGCTCAAATTAGCCTGGTGAAAACCATTCTCAGTCTCACAAGTTCTGAAAGATTCAGACTGTCGTTTGTGCAGAAGGGTGTTAACATGGTCAGCTGATAAATAAAGCTCTTGCAAAATCAAGGTGAAAAAATACTTAAACCTTCAAAGCAGGTAATTGCTTTTATTCATTTCACTTTATCCTTGTAATTTCATGATTACTCATAATTTAATGGCATCAGTTTCAAATTTTGTAACCTGAAATTTTGTAATCTGAACAACCTTTACTCTCCATGTGTGCTTTTAACATACTCTTATCAACTTACCATAAAGGGA